ATGAATTAGATTTTGAGCCTAAGTGTGAAGGGAAGGGTTTAGAATGTAATAAAAGAAGATTACCTTTGCTAGCTTACCGTTTTGGGTACTCACGCCCCATTCACATTTTTTGCCCGGTTTTGTGGCTTTGTTGGCCCTTTTAAAAACAAGCACCTTCTAGGCATAATGTTGCTAGAACACTCGTGTACACACAAGCCAACTTGAGCATCACTCAGTTAATTCAAGTATTGTTTCTCGACCAAGAGGTTAAAGATTTAAATCAACACTCTAACATGCTCAACTCAAAAAAATAAAAAAAAGAATTAATAATGCTAGTGTACACAAAAGAAGTCACTCGAAGCCATGTACTTTAGTTGGCTTGTGTTCAAGCGTCTTGTTTTTCTTTTCAGCTTTTCTTCAAATTTTTTATTGTTTACCTCTATGTTACACAGGTATTGAAACAGGATCATGTTGCAGCTGGGCTTTGCTGTATCCAGTTGTTTATGAATTCTTACTCACCAGAGGAAGCAGTCAAGCATTTAGAACATGCAAAGGTATATCTTAATTATAACTCCTGTACTCCACTACTTGTTCAACTAATTTTGGCTTCATCATTCAATTTTCATTTTAAATACAGATGCACTTTGATGAGGCACTATCAGCCCGATATAAAGGTGGAGATTCTACCAAGCCTATGGTAAAGGGAGTTAGAGTGAGAAGTGCCTCTGAGAAGCTTTCTGAAGAAGGACTTGTCAGGTTTTCTGCCAGGATTTCAATCCAAGTAATGTCTGACGTCTAATGGATGTTATTGCTTTTCTTCAATCATATAATGCTAAAACTGGATTAATCTCCAAATAACATGTAATAATTTGTTTGGTCAGTGGTTAACAATTAACTTGAAAAGAAGTCTGGAAAAGTTGGAATATTTTGTCTTCGACGATTCTCTCACTATTACTTCATGTGAAAAATTATGGGATTCTTTGGTTGTTATTAAAGAAGAAATTGCTCGACTCCTATAAAATTAATACAGATAGATGTTTGTTCATTCCGATACAAGTTTAAAGTTAAAATCACAGACTGTCTTAGTAGTTGTATAGCGTATTTTAGTCATTGGTGGAGGTGCAATTTATACAAGCAATTCTAGAAACTCTTATGAATTTTTTGTATTCTTAGGTGGAAGTTGTGAAGTCATTCAATGATTCAGATGGACCTCAATGGAAACACTCACTCTTTGGAAATCCAAATGATCCTGAAACATTCAGGTTTTATTACCTTCATCAACGATGATTTTATTTTCCTCATAGTAATATGCAGTAAGCCAGTAACCACTTGATTTATTAGTGAAGATGATGTCTGAAAATATCCCAAGTATATAAAATTATAAGATGAATAAGAGTCAAATTTTGGCTAAAAGTACCTTGTGTGAGTCTCTGTGAATGGCTTCCTGAATGCTCTTACACTTTTTGTACATGTAATGTTCTAAACTACTTTTCCATGATTCATGAACAAGGTCTGCCATTTCACTCTTGATCTTTCCATATACATCAGAAATATTTCATTTCCAATCTGAGAATGGTTCTTTTTTAAGTAAAAATCTTATTGCTAAGAGTGGATCACAATGTTTAGAGAGATTGTGATAAGAGTCATATACCAAGACCCTTGTGCTTTTTACTATAATTTTACTCACGTTGTGTTATTAAATATTTTGTGGAGTTGTATAGCTCACAAGAAGCAAATGAAGAAATTCAATTGCTGTGTGTTTCAGGAGAAGGTGTAAGATCGCCGAGACCCTTGTGGAGAAAAACTTTGACTTGGCCTTTCAGATTATATATCAATTTGGTCTTCCAGGTAGCAATTGCATTGTGTTGGCTGGACAACTTTTCTTTTCTAATTCTTGAAATTGTCGCTGTAATTTTTCTATTGATGCTTTAACACCGTCTCCTGGTCCCTCCAGCCGTTGATATATATGCTGGTGTTGCTGCATCGCTTGCTGAGAGGAAGAAAGGCGGTCAGTTGACGGAGTTCTTCAGAAATATTAAGGGCACCATTGAAGATGGCGATTGGGACCAGGTAAGGGAATTGTACTTTTGTTCTATTGTATAACATATAACAGAATCTGTATGATGTTTCATCTCTCCCACATGTTTTAACCATGCTTGTTTTTCGGAATGGCAGGTCTTGGGAGCTGCAATAAATGTATATGCTAACAAACACAAGGAGCGACCAGACCGTCTCATAGATATGTTGACTAGCAGTCACAGGTAATCGATATGCACTTCTGTCTGATTTGTGTCCTTGTGTAATGACTGTCTTACATGAAGTTGCAAGAACTCCTTCAACAAGTAAAGGGTGTTTTGAATTATAGGCCAAGATTTGTTTTTTCTCCTTGGAAGGTTGGGTATGTTTCAAAGACCGACCGATTAACCCGAGTTTTCTTTCTTCTAATTATTAAATGTGTAAACAGTAAGTTATAAATAGGAGTTTGTTTGGAAGTAGCTTGAAAAGGGACATGGCATGTTATATCGGGTGGGATTAGAGAACATGTTCTTAGTAGAATTCATCCTCCTCCTCCTCCTCCTCGATGCATTATTTTGATTTGGCATACAATACAATTGCCTGAAATCCTTGTGGTACTCATGTTGTGTACATACAGAAAAGTTTTGGCTTGTGTGGTCTGTGGTCGTCTGAAAAGTGCTTTCCAAATTGCTTCTCGAAGTGGAAGTGTTGCTGATGTTCAGTATGTAGCTCATCAGGTCAGCCATCTTCACCACAAACAATCTATATATATATATATATATATATATATATATATATATATATTCTCTATGTTATCTCTTTCAAAAGAAAATCTGTAAATACTTTCTCTATGTTATCAACTATATGAATGTCCTTTAAATGTATTGAATGTATTTTTGTTTTCCCTAATGATGTTAATGTAATAGTGACCAATGTGGAGCTTATTTGTGATTTTGGTTCTTGATTTAGAAACAATAACTACTCATGTTGAGCTGTCCATCTCTCTTTCAGGCATTGCACGCAAACGCCCTCCCCGTGCTCGATATGTGTAAGCAATGGTTGGCTCAATACATGTAATCCATCTCAATCGAGCAGATTTTGCCTTTCGGTTTTCAACCTATACAGTCTCGCAACATCCATGCAACCATTTACTTGGTTCAACATCAATTGTTTTAGTAGTTCCAGCCTTCTAGTATGATAATGATAGAGCTTGTTTAAAGTGCCTCATAAAGAAAGAAAAACTCGATTTGCTTAATTAATCGGGATTCCAGTGTTTTGAGTAGAGATGTAATCGATCATATTTATTGGACGGTTTTGCTCGTCGAGGCTATTCAGTTTCTGCTACTAAAGATGTGATCACAAAGCTGAACCTGAAATTAAAAGAAATTAATAGATATATATATATAGCAAAAGGGTATTTTACTGTAAGAAGCGTTCTACCACAGGTAAAGAGGAGGCAGAGGAATGTGGCGCTCCACTCTTGTCACCTTCAGAGATCGGTTGGCTGTAGTTCTTTCTCTAGTCGCTAATGTCCTTTTCTTATTATTAATTACTATCCTGGCCGGCCATTTCGTTTTGGCGGAATTATAAAAGTATATAATATAATTAAGTTGCGACAATTTATTATTTATAATTCCAAAGTCAGCTTCTGATTAATCAATGTTATTCAATAAGGTTCAAAATATATTGTTTTTGTAAGAATTTTGTCGTAGTTGAAACATATGAATGTATGCATAAACAAGCTTATGTTCCTAAATTTGATTTATAATGAATTTTTTTTTACAAAAAAAAATGTCAATCATCGATTCATTTTCACAATTTTTTATGCGTAAGATAAGATAATCACATATAATTATAGTGGCCACCAAAATAAAATGATAAATACACACACTAGGTGACTAGGATGGAAATTGGTCAAATAATTATATAATGGGAAAAATAAGTATATATATATATATTTTTTTTAATTTCACAAATAAAAAAATAGAGTGAAAAATGGACTACCTAAGAAAACGGAAGAAAGTTAAAAACTGTGGTTATTAAATTTCAAAATCTAAAAGAGAATATGAACATAGATTCATTGTATAAACCAGTTAAAGAAAAAGCTTGTCTACTACAAAGTTTAATTTCAAAATGCAATTAATTATGTCAGACACGAGAGGGTAAAATTGGAAAAGGAATTTAAGTTGAAAATAGAATTAATTATGGCAGACACTAGAGGGTAAAATCGGAAAAGGAAATAAAATATCTAATTGCTAATTGATCTCAGCAAGAAAGATCGGACATAAAGTTGTAAAATTCTACGATACACAACAAATCTATAAATATTTTCTATTAAAAAAAGCCCCTAACAATTAATGAACCATCAATACTTTATTATTATTATTGACAGAATAAAGTGATTAGATCTCGAATTAAGTTCACAAATTCATAAGGATTTATTCACTAGTATCGTATTCTGACCTCAGATTCGCCTTTTACTTCCACAGTTAAGCTTCCAATTTACCTAAGGTTAAGATATATGTATATATATATATATATATATATATAATGCATAGGAGAACCTCGTTCATTCAAAGAAGCAAGAAACTAACCATATGTTTAATGATGGTAAAAGAGATCCACAAAGCCTTCCTTGAAGTCCTTTCCCCTGTTGAAGTCCTGAAATTAAGAGTCAACTCTTCATAATACACGCATATTACATATAAAAATCGCAATTATTAGAGTAATTATGAGACATCATCTCTTGAGCATGGGATCGATTCATAGAATAATGCAAGTCAACATGGATCACTAAAATAAATCTTATCTTTTATGTATAACAGTCACGAAATGATCTTTTTTAAATTTATTTACACCAATTCAACGAATGCTCATTGCCACCTTCCCCTTTAATTAATATATATTAAGTTGAACTCACGGGGTTCGCGTAGAAGTTACCTCTTTTGTGTGCATAAAAAGTCTCAGGCATGCATGAAAAGTGACCGTCTTGTTTCTGGGTCATTAGAATTTGCAGAGGCTGAAACACAATGACGACACCAATGTCCGAAACAAGGTCGCCGTTACCTTTGCTGTTCCGGCGGCACTCAAGTGGCGAAATAAAGAACTTGACGTCGGTTTCCAGCAGCCTTTTGCCGGCGTTTGGAACTGTTGTGACCGATGGATACTCAAACCTGAACAAGTTCATTATAGTTCCGTATGATAGAAGATATCGGTGAGTCAATTCAAAAACTTGTAGATGCAATTCTAAGAGACAATATAGTTTAAATTTAACACACCATAAGTACTTTCATATCTTAGTGCTTAGTTTCTCTGCTAATAAATTTGATCCTACCGGTTGTGTGATAGGTCGGTGATCCATGATATTCAGTATTGAAAATATATTTTTTTTCTTGCCATATATGAGGATGAATTTCATTAGCTGTAAATGAAAGAACACATACAGTATAAATGATTTTTTTTTTTTAATTTTTTTTTTTTTATAAGTATTGATATATGAATAATTATAATGTGGAAAACTAGTCAAAAGCAAGAATTTGTCTTACTTGCTTTTGGCGAGAGAAAGGAGCGGACCACTTTGGTTGGGCATTTTGGAATATGAACGATGATGCAATGCAGGTGGTGGCAAACTTTCCTGGTAGTGCTAGTGGTGTACTCAGCGTGGGTATCTCCCTTTGAGCTTGCCTTCAAGAAAGTGGCAACTGGGTCTCTTTTACCCGTTGATTTGGTGGTGGATGCATTCTTTGCCCTTGATATTGTCTTGACCTTCTTCGTGGCTTATCTGGATAAATCCACTTATCTCCTCGTTGATGATCATAAGAAGATTGCTGTACGGTATGTTCATTTTGCCCATTCCAAGTAATGTTTTGGTTTGGGTTTCTTCTTCCATCTACTTCTTCTGAAAATTGAAATTTTCAAAAGTTGTTTCAAGAGCTGAAGGAAGGGGAAACAGTACAGTTATACAATAAATGACAATTTAGCACAAGACGACAGCTGCACACATGTAGAAGTTGTAACTAGAAGGCATTAAAACAATATGTATTACTTTTCTGATGAAGAAAAAAGAATTTGTTTTTAATACAATAAACGGTCAAGAGATTGATCTAAGATTTATCATGACAACTTGAATTTAATAGGTTGTAAATTGTAATCGGTAGAAAATATATATATACAAATATGACATGGGTGAATGGTTAGAGCTAACTATTTGCAGTGTGAAATGAATTACTGAAGCAAATTTCAGAACAGCTATTAGATTAATAGAAAATTATGTGTTGCTGCAGTTACCTTACAAGCCTGTGGTTCCCCATGGACGTAGCCTCCACTCTTCCATTTCAGGTAATATACAGAATTTTCACTGGAAAGATGAACCGCAATGAGGTCTTCGGTTTCCTCAACTTACTTCGGTTCTGGCGACTAAGGCGTGTTAGTGAACTTTTCTCAAGGTAACATGTTGCTTGCACTTCAATTTATAATGGAAGTAGATTATTTGATAGTAAAGATTTCAAAAATTAAAAATGCATTTTCATACTACTTACATATGAAATTAAAAGGACTTGGAATGTTCAGCTCAGAACTAATCTAACTGACAAATTGCCTCAAATCCAGGCTCGAGAAAGACATACGCTTCAGTTACTTTTTAACAAGACTCGTCAAACTAATTTGTGTAAGACTTCTTTGTGGGGATAACAAACTTACTTGTAACATTCTACTCTCAGACCACTGCTTAAGTATAAGTATCTTTGGGTTGTTCTCCAATGACAGGTTACACTGTTGGCAGTTCATTCAGCTGGTTGTTTCTACTACTGGCTGGCAATTCATCATAAAGATGCAGAAAATACATGGATTGGAATTGAAGTAGAAGATTTTAAAAGCAGAAGTATCTGGCTTGGCTACACCTATTCAATATATTGGTCAATTGTCACACTTGCTACCGTTGGTTATGGGGACTTGCATGCAGTTAATCTAGGGGAGAAGATTTTTAGCATCTGCTACATGTTATTCAACATCGGCCTCACATCTTATTTGATAGGAAACATGACAAATCTCATCGTTCACAGTGCTATCCGAACATTTATCATGGTAATTCATCCTTTTTCTCCATGCACTCAATCTAAGTTACAGGAACCAGTCTAACATAGAAAGCATAGTATTTGTTATATGTCTACTGGCAATGTAACGAAGAAAATGCTACTGCGCGAATCTTACCCTGTAACTATGTCTATGTTTGGTAATAATCAATGGTTTACAAAACAAAGCATAGTGTCAATAGAAAACATAATTTTACACTTTATAATAAACTAATTGTATTGTCACTTACCAGAGGGATTCCATAAATGAGATATTGCGTTATGGAAGCAAGAATAGACTGCCAGAAAGCTTGAAAGATCAAATGTTGGCGCACATGCAGCTCAAGTTCAAGACAGCAGAGTTGAAGCAAGAAGAGGTGTTGGAGGATTTACCTAAAGCAATCAGAACCAGTATTGCCCAGCACCTTTTCCGTCATACAGTTGAGAATGCATACTTATTCAAGGATCTATCTTACGACTTAATCGCCCAATTGGTAAGAGAACTTTTTCCCTGTTCAAGAGATGACGATTTCACAAAAAAAAAAAAAAAAAAAAAAAAGAGTCGTCAAATAGACTACCAAGTCATGCAGCATGAAGTACAAAAAAGTAGAACTTTGGAGCATTTACCTTCACCATTTAACAGAAGAATATCTGGAAACTAACCAAGCTAAATTTATTGCTATTCTCAGTTCTCCTGTTGGCCTAATACATATTTGTGCAGGTGTCTGAGATGAAAGCCGAGTACTTTCCACCTAAAGTTGACATTATAATACAAAACGAGATACCAACAGATTTCTACATTTTGGTGTCTGGATCAGTGGTAAGTAATCTTGTGTTTTTTCATCTGCATTCCATGTTCTCTTGGAATCAAATCTAATCTAAACTACATTTATAAAAATGCAGGATGTGATCGTGTACAAGACTGGAACTGAACAGGTAACGTAGAGCAGTTCATTGTTGTGTTAAAAGGTTATTGCCTATTTCTATGCATTACATTATATAATGCAAGAAATTTTAAATATTCACGACCAAATTACAAATGCTGACAGGGTAAAGTTAGACAATGAAGTAATTATGATAAAATTCTAAGTACTTAAAACGAACTCAAAGAAACAGTTGTATAATTTATATAACAGACCCTAGTCTATTCAAGTAATGTATTTCTAAGCAGTTATAACGAAAATCAAACTCCAGTAAAATTGGTGGCAAAAGAATTTAAATGGTTAGAAGATCCAGAGTGACGAAAGAGAGCTTTGGCCCAGCAACCAAGATCCCTGAAATCAAAGCACAAAATTATATTTTTTTTAAATAAGTATCTAATTGGATTGTCAGTATCTTTAAGAAAACTTATGTTGCCTAGAAGTGATAATCTGTTTGGCAATTGATGGATATTCAGACAGTACAAGCAGTGCACATCTTGAATTTCAATAAACCAAGAACTGAAGTAAGACAACAGAAGAGGATAGGATGAGATCTGTCCTGTAGTGATTATAGACTGAACAAAAATAGTGTATTGTATGCACCATCCAACAGAAGATAATATCCCATTCATTCATATATCATAGCACCCAACTATCTTTGCAAGTTGATTCTTCAAGCTCAAGTAAGACTTTGAAACCCACACTTCATGCTCGAGAAAATTTCCTGCAAGAAGAAATTGACATAAGTGTACAAAGTACTGTCATGAATGACGTCAGGAAGGGAAAATTCATATTATGATATAATGTCTTTTCAAGCATCGAGATTGGAAAGGAATGCAAGATCCTTATTGAAAGACTTGTTTTTTTCCCCCTCAAACTAGCATTAGGAAATAACCCCATTCCAACCTAAGCAGTCTTCCTAGTCTTCCAAATCTCTAAACAAAACAAATAAGATTTATCTGTTAGCTCTCTAACAATTAAGTAGAATCAAGACAATTTGGGTAATAATGATGCAATTCAATGATACTTAAAATGGAAGGGCGGCTGCATCTGCAGTACTCATGTGTTGAGATATTTCCATCCTCAACAGGAAAAGACAGGAAAATCCAATGAACCTGATTTTTTCACTCTTTTTCGTAATATATTTGCATGAATTGATTTTCAGATTTTGTCAAAGCTGGAATCTCCACAGATGGCAGGGGAAATTGCTGTGATGTTGAATATCCCACAGCCATTTACAGTGAGAACTAGAAGACTCTCCCAAGTCATCAGGATCAGTCATCATCATTTTAAGCAAATGTTACAACCAAACAACGAAGATGGAAAAACCCTTTTCATCAACTTCACTGAGGTTAGAAAAATAGTTGATCTATAATACAATTATTACAAGATAACCAAATTTTATATCAGAAGCCTTTGAGATTAAAGATACCATCATCAAGATAGTAACTGGATAAACTTGCCATGTATAATCCTAATAAAACCCGTGTTTAGTACGCACATTTTTTTATGCTGATTTTTGTGCTGCACAATCAGCACTTGAAGGGGATGAAAAAGGAGGAGCAAAACGAAATACCCTACTTTTCAGAGTTGCTGGAAGACCTAAATTCAGAGGTACCCTTCTTTTACTATTCAATAAAGTGGTTTACAATTTGGACATACTTAGCTTGTAGTTAGTGCAATGCCGAACGTTAGAAGCCTTGTTGTTTGAATATAACTTTGAGAAGTATCCAGGAGAAATGATCTCTTCTAAATATATTACTAAGAACGTAAGCGGGTGTTTATTACATACCAGGAAACTTTACAGCAAAATTAATCTCAAAGTCATGATTTTTTAGGATCGAGTTGACTCGGGTTAACTGCTATCTAAAGGATAAGAGTTTCTTTATTAAAACTAGTCAATTTGCTGATTTTCATGCTTGTAAATGAAAGACTTCCAAAAATATTATCTATGCAAGTGTGAAATAGGCGAACAAGATTCAAGCAAAATGTTTATGCATATGGTGAAAATAGGCTAGGCATTAATGTGTTCTCCTTACCCATGTCTAGAGAATAAAATGGGAGGAGAATTATGACAACTGGTACTTTTCCACCCAAGACTGATGAAAGTCAACTTTTCCTGCAAGAATATAGCAGAAAAATTACAGAATAAGATATAAGTAGATCAAAGTTATAAGATTCATTTTCTGGAAAATGAATGTTGCTAAAGTTTTTTTTTTTTTAGTTCTATAAATTCACTTATGAAACTTAGTATGTAATAAATTGAAAAATGAGTTAATAACATAAGATATAAAGGGAGAATTTCAATTTCTTCTCTGGTCAAGAATATTTGACAAAAACAAATTGAAAGGGAAATTTCGAAATTATTTATCTATTGGCTTACATTTCAAAGTAAGAGGGAAAATAAGTCCATTAGAGTAAACCATAGAAGAGCTTTGTAAGTTACCAAATAAATATTCATTCATAAACTAATTCTAATTTTGTCTAAAATACAAATAGAAAAGAATGACCAAGCAGCATTGAATGATGCAACTTGTACTGAAATTCTCAATGAAAGTTAAACCTATGCCTTGAATAAAAAATAGACGTTGATACAAATTAGCTTTGAACAAATTACCAGTACAATACCAAATATTCTTTCTTTCCCTATATTCTTTGAACAAACTAGCTCTTAATGATTTCCTACCAGAGAAAAGGACTCACTTACGAGAACGATAAAAAGAACCTTAACTAGATGATGATCCTCGCATGTTGTTTTGCAGTTCACAGAACCGAATGAGACACAAAATCAGAGACTACCAGATTATTATGGAGATCAAAAAATGGAAGGTAAGGAAATTGTGGAATGACATTGACAGTTATGACATTATTTTCTAATTAGATCTTAGAAAGCATGCATAAAATGGAGAAATCATAAATAGTTTCTTGGGAATTTATTTTTTTCACTGAACATATATCTACTCGGACTGTGGCAAGTTACAACAACATGCAAGCACATTCTAGAATCATCAGGACATAATGTTTATGTGTGGAAGAGCTGTGTTGTCACTTTGTTTTTCAAGTAAAATATATTTAGCTTTATCAAAATATTTTACATTCGTCTCTTTAAAAACAGAGTGCGGTTGAGCATTTATAACTTTTTCTATAACTTAGATTAAACTATAAAAATTTAACTTTTAATCTAAAAAATATTGAATCAACTTTGTCAGCAGTTTGTGTTATCAACTTGATTCAGCACAAAGCACACTTCCTAAATGTTCTAATCTTAATCGAGTTACTTTTGTTCGAGCAACTTGGATACCATGTATTTTCAAATGTTGGACTTTTCCTGGATAAGCACATTTCGTAGCTCAATTCACATAATTATGTTATAGGATTGCCAGAAGCATCTACACCACATACAGATCGCATCAGGGTGATAATTCACGAGCACCATCCAGATGAAAGTACAAAAGATGACAATGGTATGGGAAAACTGGTATTTTTGCCCAAGTCGATCGAAGAACTTTTCGGATTGGCAGGTATTATGATTAGATTTGTGTGAAGTATAATTTGCGTCATACATTTTAAACAATCCCAGGAAACATTTCAGAAATTACAATCCAACGCTAAGTACCTATTCTTCTTAAAGTACAAAAATCTATTGGTTTAATCATATGATTTTAATATGATAGGAAGAAGATGGTGAAATAAGAAATTTAAGTCAATAACTAGATTTTTCTGTCTTATAAAGAAGACAGTTAAAGACCTAGTTATCATGGTTGTGTAATTTATTGAATAGAGTTTGGGATCAGACAGAACAAATCATCGTGGTTGTTGGCTTAATCATACAAAGGGCTTGGCTTTTTATACGCCTTATATACCTTTTTAATGTCAATATAGATGACATTTTTTAATTAGAAGATAACTGATTGACAATGTATTGCAGAGAAAAGATTTGGCAAGAGAGGGAGCTCAATTATCATGGCTGATGGCTCTAAAGTAGAAGACTTGAATGTTTTAAGAGAGGGTGATCATTTATTTTTTGTCTGAAGACAAAAACAATATCTACTGGGTTTACATAAGGCCTAAACCGATGACTTATGGTCTACAACTATCAAGAAACAAGAGATGAGTGATAGTGTAAATATATTAAAGGGATACGTATTGGCAGAAATGTGCAGAAATTTTGGGAGAAATCTTACAGCGTTCCCCCTCCGTTGTTGAGCATGTCTAAAACAGTGTAAGCAGCTTGTTGAAATTGTTGTTTCTCTTCCTCTAGCACTCCCTTCCTGTCAAGAGCAGAACCCCTGCACTTCTCTATGTCTTCCAATATACCAACAGCATTTTGATCGATTTCACTGCAAACAGTGGAAAACAAGAGGACTAAGGTTAGCATGAGAATCTAGACGTACCATTATGACGTTTTATGCAATTAATTTGGAGTCATTAGAAGTAGAAGAACTCCTCCATAATTGAAAATATTTCGCTCTCCCCACTTACAGCTTATCAGTTTACAACAACTCCTGCAAATTTAAAATAAAAAACATGCATAAAAAATAAAAGTAATCGAGCTACTCTCCATAATTAACAAACCTGATCATTCTAAGCATGTTCTCCATAGCCCCTTGGGCCTGTTGTGATATATCTGCGCAAATATAAAAATACCAGAACCAGCATTATCTAATCGGATGACACAGAGTAATCCAAAGATCCAAAGATCAGGGCGTGATAAACATCAACATGCAAAGAAGGAAAGAGAAAACGATAAAATGATTTTGTGATGAAAGCAAGCACGTCTTGGTCGAACTGATATTAAGGCTTTGAAGTTTTCATCGTTGTTCGGCTATGATTTACCGCCTCTCTTCAGAACAGATCTAATCTCATGAGTACATTTGGTCTGGTATAATTTACAAGCCTGTAAATTTGCGAGGAGCAACCTTGCTCCAAGTACAACCATCTCGAAGCTAGCGAATCAATCAAACTCCTTCTAGAATTACAGAACTTAAAAATAACGGATGAGCGAAGCAAAACAATCATATAAAAATGGACTGCACATATAAATGGAGGCAGAATCATAAGACGCGAGTACTGACTGGCCATTTCTGAACACGATTCACGATTCAAATAGTGTTAAGAATAAAGTGCCAACAGAGCCAACATTTGGAGGAAGACTCTTGATATATTTGGTAGAAGGCAGACTCTTAAGTTCAAGAATCCAAATACCTCCTCGTCTTAAGAGAGTACAACTAACACCGTCGATTTGTTCAATAATTTGTCTAAAACAAACAACCTCTATCTATTTCAGTTTTGTGCTATACAATTCTATATAGTATCAGAAGCGAAGAAAGTTAACCTAATCGGCGTTTCCAGTCAAACCTGCGCCGAACATTATCAAATGCAATCCAGTCGAAGTTTCATCACCTACCTAGAGTTCAATCTCAAAGCATTTCTTACTTCTTTAAGCACAACTAGTAGACGATTAACAGTGCCCGTTTTTCACAATAAGTACAACAAATCTAACTAAAAATCTCGCCATACAACGTGAGGCAGGCATATTTTCATTACGAGAAAGCGTTTTTGCGCGCCTTTTGAGTGTGTGCATTAGAGAGAAAGAGAAAAAAGAAGCGAAGAACTTACGGAATAGGAGAACTGAGAGCTGCGTTTCAGATTCAGATTCTGACAATGACTCAGATTCCGGCAAGGGAATAAGCTGATCAGTGGGTTTTGATTCGGAACTTGCCATCGTATAGAGACTGGAACGAGAAGAACAAAGGCTCCAGTTACGTTTGCGCGGGTGAAGTATACAACTGATGTTCAATTTTTTTTATTTATAGTATTTTTCATTCTACACAAAATCGTCTCAAATAATTCTTAAATTATTTTAATTTTTAAAAAATTACGAATTATATTATTTTCGTAAAAATATGCTAAACTTAAAACTAAATAGTTCATGTAATATTAAATTATTATTCCATTAACATAATTATTTATATGTGGATATAATCAGTAATTAAATGCACTCCTTAATAAGATCAGCCATGTTTATACTAAAAAAAAAATGAAAACCCGACCTATGGTGGAACTCGAGAGCGTTTAAGGAGCGTTTAAGGTCAGTATCATATAGATATATATATATATACATACGGTAAATTTGATACGACCACAAAAAAAATGGGGCTCTCAAACCCAACCTATGGTGGAACTCGAGAGCAAAGCCAAAATGCTTGATCTTTTGTCTCATACTTCGAGACGCTCCTCCCGTCAATCAAGCAACAAAGCTATTCGTGATACACTGATCTTGAAGCCACTATTCTTCGATTCGAATAAGCCAGGTCCTTTCAATCGGTTCGTTTAGGTGGTCTTCCCTTATCTTTCCTAATGTTCAGGGTTGTTCCATTAATCCTATCTAAAAAGGGCGAGTTGAGTAAATTGATGACCTTTCTTCTTCAGGTAAAGCACGAGACCCACCACAAAGGGAAAGCAGGAGCACACCAAGTGAAATAACATTATTTTCTGTTGTAAGAAATAGTCGAACGAATGAGGAAATCAGGAGGGGACAATATTAACGCCCCCCACCAACCCACCGACGACTTGATACTGAATTACACTCGAGCCAAGCAAACCTACACATATAGCATCTCGACATTGGTTGTAGGGTCTCGAAGCTAAAACTCGGAGAAGTTACGCCTCACTCGATGCTACGATTTGCCACTCGACCTTGCTACCAAAAATATGTATTATTTGAAAAGTCTCAAGTATGTATTTTATAAATTTTTTTAATTAAAAAATTGAATCTATAATTTGATAAAAATAGTTTCAATCATCAAAGGTTGATGAATAATATTTTTACTTTATTACCCTTTTCCTTTTTTACCCCTTCCTCTTCCAATGCTCCTTCTTTGCCAGACAAACTCTCCCTTCAACTCCACGGTTCCACCAGAACTCGACACGTGTGTTTCCTACGAGTGCTGGACCCACTGGAACAGAGCTTTTTCCAGAAAAAGCACGCAGTGAATAAATCAACCGCCCGAAGAAGACAGGTCCAGTAGTAAAAGAATCTTGCGTTTACAGCCGTTGGATTTCATCGGGATCCTCAAATATGACAGACACGTGTCGGAATCAGACGTCTGTTCAAGATCGAGAATGAAGAAAGGCTGAGTCACGCAAAACGACAAACAAGGCAGTTCCGAAAAATGAATTACAAAATTATGTAAGTTTATTAATACAGTATGACGTGGCAACTTGTTTGATAGGGACTGAATGGACCAATAATTATTAGTTAACGGTTAAATAGACGCCGTTTATGTTCGATGGAAATCATTAACGTGGGAGAATGTTTTTTAATATTAAATTACTAATTTAATCTCTAAAAATATAATATTTAAAATTTCAATAAAAAAAAAAAAAGAGTATAATTTAGGGGACTAATTTACGTGCCCATGAAATGAAGATGAAGAGGGTAAAATTGTAATAAACTGTTAGTATGAGGGCAAATTTGTCAATAAGCAAAAAAAGGCCAATCACACAGTCATGGACCTTACTAAAATGGATGTTTCGTCCTCCCCACATTCTCCGCCACAGCTTACCAAAAGTGCAAATATAAAATCTTTTATTAAATTTTTTTTTTTAAAAAAAAGTAATATTTTCTTAATTTTCAAATTTAGTTTTGAAAATATTTTAAAATTTAGAGAATAAATAAATTAAGAAATTAAAAAAAATATAATTAATAAAATAAAAATTGGAAGAGTGGTAAAATAATGCATTGAAAGACATTACTGTGGGCGAAATTAAAGTGGCTGCCATTCACTGCAAATGGCATTGTATTTGTAGAGAGAGAAAATCGTTGGGTTTTTTGTTTTCTTCCATTTTTCTAGAGAGAGAAAGTGGGAATGCTTGTGACTGAGCTGCCTTCGCTGATTTTGAGGCATCACTGAGAGAGAAAGAGAGATTGCAGAGCAAGTTTCAGTCATACCCATTCATACTTTCAATTTCTTCTTGTTCTTGTTTCGGCATTTTTTTTGTGTCTTTTTTCTTCCGCAGCGAAGGAAAGGAGGTTAGCTTTGCCCTTCCTTCCTTCCTTCTTCTATGGCGTTGTTTTCGTTTGTTTTGATGCATTTCGGAGTTTTTTTGTTGATGTTCTTGATCTTTTCTTTTTTGTAATGAGATTTCTGCGATCGTTGTACTTCAGTTATCGCTGTTACTGCTTGTTCATTTGAGCTTTTGATGATTTGTTCGTTGTTTTGATCTCCGTTTTTGGATCATTTCATCGATTTTGGACTGTTAGAACGCTCTCATTGGATACTTGATTTTCACTGGATCTTTCCGCAGATTAATGAACTGTCTAGAAACGTTTCTCCCTTTGATTCACAGAGTTGTGTCTATTTTTCCATTTTATGCCTCATTATCGGATACCTCTTCTGTTTCCAACGCTAAATTGTAACTGCTGGTGCGTCCAACAAATTTTCTAACCAATTTTGTTTGTATATTATTTTCCTTGGATTCTTCTTTTTTTGGAAAAACATGATTGAGACGATTGTTTCCTTTATCATCATTCTGTCTGTTCTTTAGTTTGGTTAATTTTCCATTCAATCTCTTCTTCTTCTTCTTCTTCTTCTTCTTCTTCTTCTTCCAATGAAATGTCTCAGTTTGTTTACAGGAAACAAGCTTGGCGATTGCCAGAGTCCAGCATTTGCAGTGTTTGAAGATTGCTTCACAGAGAGATCAGTTCGACTTTTGAATCAGCTACAACAATGGCTGACTCTGGTTCTGAGTTGTGTCCTGTTCAGTCTGCTGTGTTGGGGCACAAATCCAAAGGCAGCCCTTTTTTCAGTGTCCCTGGTCTCTTTGTTGGCTTAAATTTCAAAGTAGCTTCAGATCATGATTCAGTCAAAAGTCCCACCTCTCCTTTAGAACTTAGGGTGTTTTCAAATCTTAGCAACTCAATAGGATCCCCTAAATCATCCTATGGCGGCCATAGAAGGAGCTGGGATTGTAGTAAAGTAGGATTAGGCATTATTGATTCTCTTGATGATGATAATAACCTATCTGCTAAACCTCTTGGATCATCTGAGAGTAAGAACATCATTTTTGGACCCCAAGTTAGAACCAAGACTCAGACCCCAAATCTTCAAATTGATCCAGTTTTTCCCCAGGTAGGTCCTAGATCTTTGCCTAAAAATTGTCCCAACTTTCTACCATTGCAGTTCAAATCACTACGTGGTCGTAGCTCAGAGGTTTTCTTTGAAATTGGAGAACCATTAGAATTCAAGCCTTCAAAGAAGAGTGAGGCGTGTTCATTGGACTCGACCCGGTTCGTCTCTGCATCTCGTGGTGTAAAAGGTCGCAGCTTCTTCCATTCTACAAATCCATTTGTGAAGAAAGTGATGACAAATGGTGATTCTGAGCCTCATGACAAAGTTTTGTCTGCAGATGTTTCAACCTTAGCATCTGTAACGCTACCTGTTTCTGGGTTTGTAGAGTCTCTTTCTGCAAGCCAGATCGAGCTCTCCGAGGATTATACTCGTGTAATATCCCATGGTGCCAATCCAAAATCCACTCACATTTTTGGTGACTGCATTTTAGAATGTCACTCTAATGATTTGAACAACTTGAAGAAGAATGAGATGAATGAGATAGGATCTCCTCTCTCAGTTAGAAGCAGCCTGGACAATCCTTCTCCATGTCAACCGATTGATTTTCTGAGTTTTTGTTACTTTTGCAACAAAAAACTTGAAAGTGGGAAAGACATATACATATACAGGTTTGTCACAACCACATTATGCAGTGGCTTCATTATCTCTGCTTGAAACATTGTCGAATGTTTTGTTTCACAAAAAAACTAAACACCCTTTGTTTCGATAGGGGCGAGAAAGCGTTTTGCAGCGCTGACTGTCGCCATCAGGAGATTGTGAATGAAGAAGAATTCGAGAAGCCTGTCTGCGAAATCTTCGAACATTCTTCAACATCCAGAGATGGCACCATTTTTGAATAAACAGGTTGGTGTCCTCCACGGCCACAGTGCCAATCGACAAATGCTCTGTTCGGTCGTCTGTTAACAGAAGAGCTGTTGTTATGGCAGCCATGGATGATCCTGTACATTGATGATGCATTTGTTTGATTTGCATTTCACTGTCAGGGTGTGTTTTTCATCTTTTTTTTCTTCTGAAATTCACATAAATTTGGCAATTTTATTGTCAAGCCAAGCTAGTATGGCCTTGTAGAAGGGTTCAAAGGGTAGAAGCCTCTGCTTTTATGGCTCCCCCATATTCTAATTTTCTGGCTTTGTATCTTTTTAATGGCCAGATATGATAAAAGACTTTGAAGCACCGAGCATCATATTTCTTTTCCCTCCAAATTAAACCGCAAATAGAATACTCTTCCAAATAGTTGGTCACCTTGGTGGATCATATCTTCTCTGAAAATTAGAAAAGAATTTAGTGCAAACAATCATTCATATTTTTCCATTTTTTCCAAAACTGCCTTTCTTCTTCTTTCCTTCTATAATGGCACCATCAAGTTTCTTAAAATTTTAGGCCTTCTACTTGCTAAACTTGGAACTTATCGTTTTAAGAATAGATTTGATTAGACACTTTTTAAAATTTTAGAACAAGAACTACGAGATTACCTCTTTCATTTTTCTTTCATTTTGGGGTAATGGAGGGATTTTCGAGCCTTTTTTTTACCTACTTTTCTCGGAAATCAAGAGTAAGCTCCAATCAATAGGATTTTCTTAATAATTTTACAAACTAAATTTATATATATAATTAAATATAGGGTTTACCCATGTACTTTTTCATTTTTAATTAAAAAAAAAAGGGATAGATTCAAACTTGAGATCTACCCATAACTAGTTTGAGACTTTCAACCTACTTTTCTTTTCATAACTTTCATGATGTTTTTATTATAATTTAGTAAAAAAATATATATATATATTTAGAAAATTTCAAAAACACTTAGATGGGGTTTTAGAAAAAGAAAAACCCATTAAGAGTAATACTCAAATAAAGAGGGAAAAATCATAATTCACTTAAAAAGCACTTTTTTGAAAATTGTTTCAAACGAGTCCCCATTTTTGAAAATCCATGGGCTTTGGGTATATTTCTTTTTCATATATATATTTTTTTCTTTTGATGGATGGTGTTGTCTCTTTCTGAGGTGCTTTCTTGTTTTCTCTATGTTTTTCATTTTACTGTTGATTTTTGCCATTCCCTTTTTGTAAGGTAAGAAAAATAATGAAAATGAAAAGGAAACCACTTTTTTTTTTTTTTTTTTTTTTTTTAATTATATTCTCTTCACAATATTTTATTAGGGGCTTTATTTTTTAATTCCTGCAAATAATCCCTTGATTACCTCCAATAGAAAATTCCAAAACGTCTGTTATAGGATTTTCATGGTTGTTTTATTCACTTTTTTTTTAAATATTAAATTATTGCTAAATCCAAATGGCTTTATTAATTTTTTACACTTTTGCTTGCTTTTTCTCCCCTTTAAATTTCAAGTTGATTTTAATATTTTGACTATATTTTTATCGTCGGTCATTAAGAAAAGCATATTAAAATTAAGAATATCGATGCAACTTTCGTGGAAACTACTAAGTACGTCGATCCTGACCCTCGAACCGCAACAAGAACGTGTTTCGAGTATCAAACCCGGGTTACTTTGGACCTAAAGAAAGGGGAACATCCCCAATCATGGTTGAAGGTGGAAAAGCAAAAATGATGAAGCAAAACTTTAATTGGGAAGGAAAGAGATTGTTTGTGGAGTGGAAACATGGAAGAGGGGAAAGAAGAAAGTGAGAAGGTTAGGCTTTGTTGCTTTGGTCCCCTAATACCTTCCATTTGCATGTGCTCTCATCATTGCCCTTCCTATTCACCACATTACCCTTTTCTTTTGGCCATCATTTAACTTTTGAGATTCCTCAACCAAAGCTTGGGCAAATTAAGCTTGCAAAGCAAACATCAATCCATCAAATATATTACCTAAAACTTGACCTCATTCATCAATACGACCCCTAGAATTGGATCGAACCGAGAACTATCTTTCAAGCTTCTTAGAAAGTTCTCAGCTCGATTCGTCAGTCGTTTTACTAACTAAAATAAGTTGGTCATTAATCATCACGGAAAGGCTATTAATTCTGGAAAAACCAAATCAAATGCAATGCAATACTTTCATACTAAGCGAGGGGGCAAATACAACAATACAGACACCAATAAATAGAATGATGTAGAAAGAAAGAGGTAGAACACAAGATATCAACCAAATGAAGGAAACAAAAAAAAAAAGGAAAAAAAAAAAGAAGGTGCGATGTTGTTGATTTCCTGAAGCAAAAGCAAAGGAAGCTGCAGAATACGTCAGTCATCTTCTCCATCGCTCGAGAATGACGTGTGGCTTGAAGGTTCTTCAAGAGTAGCAGCATGGAAACGGGAGCTTAGATAGCTGGAGATGGAAGCATTTCAGGGCTGCAGGATGATAGGATGTGGCCTTCATATCCACATCTCTAGCCTCAGGTCTGTCTGGTGTTGTAGGACTTGCAATTCAAGCACTTTTGGGCCACAATATGATACTGCACATTCGACGTCTTACCGCAATCGTTGCAAAGAATCCGAACCTGTTTGAGTTGTAAATTTTTTAATCTTGGAGGATTAAAAGCTTAAACCCATAGGTTATGATATATTCATAACAGACATTTGAACACATAAGACTCTTTAGTTTCTACGGCGATATTATATTAAACAACCAATAAATAGCATCAGCAGATACGCTCTAATATAAATATTACCCATCAGTGAAAAGAAAGTCGAAGTAAAAGTGAGGTGGGAGCTTTACCATTTTGTTCTGGTATGGCTCTGGAATGGGCGTGGCTGCAATTTCCCTGTCAAATTTTTCCCACACCTTGGACATATCACAAACGGACTTGGAGCAGAGAGGGCAAGCAAATCTGTGGCACAATCAATGTTATTAGAAAACTAAGTTCCACAAGTAAACAAGAACTCTGTATGAACACTTACTGAAAGTGATCTCTCATCTCCTTCAAGCAATTCTGATGGATGGTGTGTCCACATGGCATTACCGTAACGTCATTGGTCGAATCAAATAGAAACTGCAATCCATTTGTTAAAGATGCGCGTCATTACTTGGTGTAAGAATAGGTAGCAAATGAAGAAGGGAAATGAGGGGAAAGCTTTACCTCAAAGCAAACAGGACAGTCATGGTGCATTGCTCCTTCAACACAGGGATGGCTATTTTTTAAAATAACTGAATAGCAGCAACCTTCATGACAAGATTATATAAAAATCAGCATACACATTTGATACAACTTTAATCAGTCCATTAGCAGGATGCATCAGACAATCACGACTGACTTACCACACTTGTAACAGTGGAAAAAGTTATCGCGCCCCCCAATTCTGTCAAAATGTTCAAAATGGCATCAAATAATTGTGAGGACATAGGTAAAACTCCAAAGAAAACACATACAATACAACCAAGTTTTTGGTTTTCATGTAAACATATGGAAACAGAGCAGTATTATTCGATTAAGATAAATGGAATTTAGGATATCATACCTACAAATTCCACAGCCATTACAGTGATACTGCTTCTTAGATATCTACAAGAAAGGAAACAAATACCAAAATAAATATAAATAAGATGGTATAAAATAAAACCAAGTGGATAAAAAAAAATTGACTTCGTTAGTGCATAAGAAATGAGAGGTGTATACAAAATGGAAAACTGTGAATTGGTGCACGATATGGGAAACCAAGTGGGATGCCCAGTACTTACATCATCATCAAACAGCTTGCAAGCCTCACAGAAATATTTCCCAAAGCACACACCGCAATTGATACATTCTTGGCGAACCTGTCGAATCAGAAACCAACAAAAATGTGAATCTAGAGCAAATGAGCACGAGCATTACTAACCAATTATACAAAATTTAAATAGTAAGATTAAGCACACACCTCCTGTTCAGTTCCACAAAGTGAGCATATAACCTGAGAAAACAGAAGTATAGGTAAATTTGAAGAGATACTTCAACTCAGAGAAACTTCTGACAAGGTGAAGAGGTTGAAGAAGATGGATAAGTGACCAGTGGGTAACTTTACCTGGTTGACTTCATGGCGTGGGATCTCATGTCTTTCTTTCTGATCAACACAAATACTATTCTGCAAGAGGAAATTAAAAAAGAAAAGGTTTATGAGTCAACTATATGATATGATGCTCAGAACCAGATCTAAGATCACGCTCAAAATGTAGTTTCTTGCCTTTATTTCATTATGGCAATGACGGCAATCAAAAATTTCATTACAACAGGGAGCTCTGATGCGGCACCTTCGCCTATAATGTGCACATCTGCAAAATAACATGTTCTGTGTTTAGCAAATGAATAAGAAAGACCTGAAACAGGGATAGAAAGCAAATTCTCAAGGACTTTACCCATATTGCATGTATCCCATCTCCATCAACTCTTGGGGGTCATTTGACTTTTCAAAGGGCAAAGCCTGAGAATCAAACTGCTCATTTCTTGTCTCATTTCCTCTGCATGTCATTTGTTGATTTCCTTCTGTCCCAATCTGTTGAGGCTCGGAGTAAGTAGCAACCTCTGCCATGGAAATATAATATCCTCCAATGCAAGACAATGGTTGAATCTGGGTAGAAGCTTAAAGCACCTGCATATAGGAATAAATTCAGCAATCATCCTAAAGCCAGAAAAGGCATGTTAATCACCGTCAAAAAGGCCATGACATTGTTGCTTTCTTCTATACAGCTGCAGACCACAGCACATCAGCAACAAATAATCCATGGAACGCTGAACAGCTCCAATCATCATAACTCCAAGAGGAGAGTTCAGTTCATCCAAAAAAGAAGAGTTATAGGAGACCATATAATAACTACAACGCAGCACTGGGGAACCCCAGAGCCTCCAGCTTTGAATAGTGACCAATTGCACATCATGATCACTTGATTTGTTGAAGACTCCGGATGCAATTCCCACTAAACTGGGTCAACCAGTAGATGCATCAACCTATGGTAAAAGCAACACATACCCAATCAAATGTGTTCCAAAAATAACAAAAAAAAAAGAAAAAAAAGAAAAAAAAAGAGCAAAGTATTTAATGGTTCTACTCGCTTAATTGTCCAAAAGGACATGCCTACCTCAAATTGAAAATCCGCATTCAGTTTCCGTCAAGAACCCAACTTACCCATCTATTATTTTCTCTCTGAAAGCCAATAGATTTTCCTTCATCACATGGTATTTTGCAATCATCCGGCTCCTCCGTTCCCATAATACTGAGAACCAAACAACCAAGAAGAAGACAACTATTTCCCCAGATTAGCAAAAAGGTTCTGTTTTTTTTTTTTTTTTTTTTTTTTTTTTTTTTTTACTCTTCTTGAAGGCGGCCATGGCCAGCAACTGACTGAACAATGAAAATTGTTCCGGAGGGCAAGGTGCAAGAGGAAGCTAAAGATTCATTGAAGAGAGATGGAGAATTGATAAAATGAGGGGGATCTGAACTTTTAGCTTCTAAGGTGAACGACACAATCTGCGTAGCTGATCTTACAAGAATAGATCATGTGCCCAAGGCTATCCAGCCAACCAAATATAACGCCCATAACTGCACCTACAGCTCTGGCAATCTCGCTAGCAGAGAGCCACCTATAACTCTTATGGTCTCTGAGAGTCCAAGGATAATCAGGACTTCATCGGGAACACGTAGAAGAAGCACAAACACGTCCGGAACTCCAACGATGCTACTCATACTCCAACGTCAAGTTTTCGAAAGGTGGCAGACAAGAATCCAACATTCAACACCACCCAGAAGCATCTATCTAAACTTCATTTGTACTTGGTTATAATAACTCGTCCAAGTCCACTGCAAAAGGGTGAAGTACGTCGATGGGACGGTGTGGCTACCATCCCAGCTCCCTACTGCTCCTCATAATTAGATTTTTTAAATAAAAATAAACAAATAGATAAAAAGATCGTAGATAAGCCCGCCAAAGATTGTGGCCAGAGTTTTTACAAGGTATCACCAGCGACCAAGTTGAGAGAAAGCCAGAGAATCCTGAATATTTGGTAAAGAGCATCCAAATAAATAAACCACAGCTTGCTTCGTTTTGGACATCATCTCGCGTACTTACAGTAGTAGACCCTATGATTCTGTACAATTATCAAACAAAAACCACCATTCGCGTGTTCAACATGTAATTTAAAGCACCAGTAGAGGGGTGAATGCCTAAATGTCACCACTGAATCTAAAACTTCTCTGACCTGACTTCCCACCCATCAAACCATTTCGATTGAAATTCAACATCATAGGAACAGCTTCCATGGATATTATACTACGTAGTAATGAGCTTTAAGAACCGTGTCTTACGTTTTTGGGTTGGAGGGCCAAGGGGGAGACTCAAAAAGGCTGCAAAATAGATACTATCTCCCTAACTAAGAAGATAAGCATCTTAAACATAACACTTAGAAAATGGAAGACGAAGTCAAGACCTCAAAATTATGATCAAGGATGTAACATCCATTCATGAGCATTACTCAGTTCAACAACTTCAAAAACGGACGTCAAAGTCTTCAATACTGCAGGAGGCAAGGAATTTTAACAGACATCTAGCTCTTAGTTTCTATAAACAAAACCCTAACCGAAAAGCATTTCAACACACAATCAAAATGTACTCTAGAAATACAAAAACTCCAGACCAAGATACATCATCAAATCAAAACATCGCTCAATCCATCAACTTTAGCAACACCTAGCTGCAAGAGAAACCTCAAACAAAACTAGGGAACGAACATCCCCAGAGCCATCAATCGCAGAGAACCAAACAGCCTAGTGCGCACCCAAAAAATTGCAAGGAGAATTTTGACTTCATTATCGCAAGGAAAAAAAATTATAGAAAATTTGGGACCATATACCTCCACAATTGTAGTCGCAGAGGGAACAAGAACACAATCGAGAACCACTCACAACAAGTTGAACTAAACCAGAAGGTATAAGATCCCAAATCCCCATCTATTTCGCGATAAAATTATCAAAGAAACCAAACAAAAAATTCCAGCCAGAGAGAAAATGCACATCACATTTGCCGAAGAAAGAAGACAAGATAAAACTAAAATCCAACCGTTCCACCAAAAGATAATCAAAAACAAGAATTACGAACTACAGAAAAACTACAGAAAATTGTCTAAATAGAATAACGAACTTCGTTCAGTCGGCGAACACACAAGCTTGCGGATGCGAACCCGAATACCAAAAACAGCTACAAAAGAGATCCAACACAAAAATCGAAGCACCGAACAGCCGAGAAACCCGCTGAGTTTAAGAACCAGATGAGAAACAAAGAATCCGAAGGTGTGTGAGGTACAGTTCAAAGTGAAACGGTATTTATAGTAAAGGCGAGGGCGCGATTTCCAGAGGCTTCGCAACGCGCGTTTCTCAAAGAACGACAGCGATACTGTGAAGCTTCGGGTGTCGCCATCCCATATGGCCAGCGCATGAATTTCCTCTTCTACCCCTATCTTTTGAATTATCTTCAATACTGCATTTTTTTTTTTATATAAATTTAATATACCATAAATTTTTAACTCACAATAATTTTAAAAAAAAAAGAAAAAAATAATCAGCCTATTAGATATAAATTTAAATTTTATATCCATATATCCTTAAATTTTAATTTTTTTTGGTTCAGTAAATTTATAAAATTTAAAAAATATAATAATTCAATTACTAAATTTTTAGTTTTAGGAACTAATTTAAATTTATTTTAGCAAAATTTTCCTTTTGCAGCAAGTTTTATAGCTGTGTTTGAATGTGTGTGTTTTTTTGGACCAAATTTATAGCTGTAAAGAACAAAAGCCATGTTTCTCAAAGATTCCGATGCTTCTACAGCAATATAATTTTCTTTATTTCATACTAATTTTATGGATTTTTAAAAATATTAAAAAAAATGTAAATACTTTTTTAATCCAAATATATAAATGACACTGAAATTTATGTTTATAATTTCCATTAGTGACAAAAAAAAAAATTAATTAGTAATTTATTTTGACCATTGAGTAATCTGATTAGTTTTCTTTCCCAAGAAGATCGAATTTTCCAATTTCTTTTAGGAATTATTCAAAATTGGCGGAAGATTCTAAAATTATCTTTTTGAGCCTAAATAAATATGAAAAATATAGATAGTACAATCAAATAAGTACGAAAGGTTTTTTTTTTTTTTTTTCTTTTTTTCAATATTGTAAAAAAAGAAACTGAAATCAGTGGATTCATTTATTTAATACAATTTATTACAAAAAACAAAAATTGGAAAATAAAATAGGATATAATCAATGTTTAGTAGATTAAAAAAAACTATAAAATGAAAAATAAGAAATTTAAAAATTAGATGAATAAAATAAAAATCAACGGTAAGGGAGGAAAAACCAAAAGAGAGGGAATCTATGGAAATAAGAACATAGATGAATGGATTACAGTTGTAATTTATTTTTCTTTTTTTTTTTTTTTCCGAAAATTCAAAATTGTCGGTTATGTTGAAGCGTGTTTGATTCCAGAAGCCAAACAACAGGTCACGGAGATTCAGTTTCGACGGTTCAGATTTAAAGTGACGGGTGGAGTGGGAAGTGATGAAGCGTCGTTTTTTTTTTTTGTGTGCCACGTGTCAAGATGAAAATTAGAAAAGAAATGACGTGGACGGATGACCGTGAATATAATAATAATAATAAAGAGTTTTGGATAAGTGTTTGGGGGAGAAAAACCAGGAGGAAGGGTGTATCACGGAATCACGTGTTTTGTCAAATGAAAACAGCTAACTATTTTGATGTTTATCAGATCAGACAAGGAAGAAAAGAATGGGATGGGGATGGGACTCATCTTTGCCACGTCTATATTTGTTTTTATTTTTAATAAATTATAAAATAAATATATAATCTACCCAAAAACCCACTTTGAGCATTAGCTCTCACGGCTTCGACTCTCCACAATAGTATGGTATTGTCCATTTTTAGTATTAGCTCTCATAGCTTTGCTTTGGGATTCCCCAAAATGCCTCTTAACAATAGAGATAGTATTCCTCACTTCTAAACTCATGATCATTCTCTAAATTAGTCAATGTGGGACTTACTCCCAATAATCCTCAACATTTGCTGTGGTTCTAAGAGTGAAGAGTTCTTTTAACATGCTTCCTCATCGTTTCCAAGACTGAAAACTACCATCCCCACAAATTCGAGTCCTTTCAACATGCTTCTTAGAAAAAATTTCAACATCACTAACACACTGCCCAGTGGCTAACTCTAATACTATTTATAACAGCCCAAACTCATGTCCGCTTTGACCTGTTATGTATCATTGTCAACCTTACGATTTTACAATATGTTAACTAAAGAGAGGTCTTACACCCTTCTAAGAAATGTTTCGTTCCTCTTTCTAATTAACTTGGGATCTCATACATATACATACTCAAGATCACTCTCATTTCGATATTGTCTCGTTCGAGGGGTTAAGAAATGATCTTCCCCTTAAAAATGATTAATCCTTGAGGCAATTCAAAACCCCCTTGGGAGGAAGCTGAATAAGAGCAGCCACCCAGACTAGTAGAAGCCCACTCAGCCATCACTATACTAGCCCCAGTGCACAACATATGGATACGATAAGGATACCGAACCCACTTTTAACGTCATTTTCAAAGCAAAAAATGGAATAAAACGTTCACATGTTTACACATATTACTTACATTATGACGAGTCATGGACGTGGGTGTGCACGAATAATCCAAAAAGATGCACACCTTTTTCATCGATTCTTTGTGCTCCCTTGAGTACAAGAACTAAATCTTATGGGAAGATTTGGGGAAATTTTGGATTCCATAAAAAGTGGATAATTTTCTTTTTTTAATTCCAGGGGAAACTAACCCAATAGTTTATCTTTCCTTTTTCGGCTGATAACGACTAGTCTTCACAACCTATAGATTTCATCTTTATTTACCACAAAATTCAGTACAAATGTGCTCAAACTACGGTTCTGTCTAGGTTTAGGGTCGTTTATGATAAATATTTGTTTAGTAGTTTTTCAGAATTATATTTGTTTTCTTTTAATATCTTTATCTTTCGTTGAAGGTGTGAAAACCTCTTTCTATTAGATGTGTTTCAAAAATCGTGAGATTAGTGACGATATGTAACGAGCTAAAACGGACAATATCTACTAAAGATAGACTTAGGCTAGACTATTACAAATGGTATCATAGCTGGACACTTGACGGTCTGCTGGTGAGGACTTTGGGCTCTCAAGGGAGTGGATTATGAGATCTGACATTGGTTAGAAAGGGAAACAAAACATTCCTTAGTAGAGTGTGGAAACCTCTCCCTAGTAAACGCGTTTTAAAACCCGTGAGTATTATATAATAGGCCAAAGTGGACAATATCTACTCGTAGTAAGAAGAATTCTCTAGGATGTTTTTCTTTTTTGTTCCTTAAAAACCCAAGAGATTTGAATTCCAAAATATCAATAAATTCAAAACAAAATGACAAGAAGGAATAGAATGAATGTAAGTTTAGGATAGAAGAATCAACAGATTGTAAGCAAAGGGATTTTGGGATCAAATCGCCACCCCAGAAAGTTGTTGAGATAAGCAGAAAAGATGGATGGTAAAAAGTGAAGCAAAAAGAAGGGGCGTAAAGAGTAGGAATATTCTTAGGAAATATCACAGCAACAAAAGGTGGCTAAAGGACAGGAGGAAGCAAGTTAAGCCAACTGTCCTACTATTCTCAGCCATGAGGAACGGTTAAAAATCTCCAAAAACGTTAAAGAACTGTGGGGCCCTCCACTCACATCCCATCCATAAATAGTATCTTCTTCAGTTACACAAGGTGATTCAAACTAGCAACATATTATGATGGTAAAGTTTTTTTTTTCTTTTTTCTTTTGGCCACAGATTTCCGAAATATCAATTACATCTTAAAAGTTAATCTTCGATCACTAACTTACGATGTTCGAACAGAAAAAAACAGAGATAGAAATTTGAACTAACGATTCATGATGAACCTTATCAATCCCTTACTAACTGAGTTAGGAACATGTTGACTCTTTAGCCAGAGTTTTAAACCAACTTAGGAAATCAACAAGATATTAATAATGATGATAATGATGAAGGAATAATTCAGATAATATTGGTTTGGGTATCTATCATTAAAGAAATTGAAATGATATGAGATTCATTAAGATCAAAAGAATCAGTAGAATAGAAAGAAGTCACTGACCTGAAAAAGATGTTGCCACAGTGACACACGTATGCTTTAACATCCAGCGTCCTTCAACTGCCATGAACTCGGAAATGGTAGCCTCCACAGTGCAATGCGTTTCCCTCACGATCTTTTCTTAGTACCCTGCAAAATTTGAGCATGCCACCTATACAAGAAGAATGAAACTTTAAGTGATAGCAGTGACTTTGACTGAACCCTTATTCATGCCATAAGAGATCAAACATAGGGTGGTTTTTATAACCTTACGTTTCACTTTTCTATATCAAAATCTAGAGGTTTGGCTTAACTGGAAGAAAATTAAGATATGGAATGTAACAATCTAAACCCACTGGTCGTAGATATTGTCTTTTTTAGGCTTTCCCTTTCGAGTTTTCCCTAAAAATGCATCTGCTAGGGAGAGATTTCCACACCCTTATAACGAATATTTCATTCCTCTATCCAACCGATGTGGGCTCTCACAATACACCCCCTTTGGGATCCAACATTCTCGCTGGCACTCATTCCTCTCTCCAATCAATGTGGGATCTAACAATTCGCACACTTAACTGTGGAGTTTTGATGGGATCCGGTGCATTAGTGTTGGTATGTTTATGAGGGTATGGAAACCTTTCCTTAGCAAACACGTTTTAAAAAATCTTAAGGGAAAGCCCCAAAGGGAAAGTCCAAAAAGAACAATATCGGTTAGCGGTTGGCTTGAACTACCCTCAAACAATTTTAATGCATAGAATATGGCTTTTTCAGTAAGATTTGGGACCAGTAGGCTATATATTTGATATCAATGAGGTGGGGTTTTAAGTGCATAAATCTTTGCACTATTTCTTCATGCTTTCTCAAAAGCTAAGTTCAGTCCCCCACTTGGTTTTTTCAGGTTCATAAATCTTCTTTTCCTTGACAGCTCCTTCCTCTCCCTAGCTAAGAAGCAAGGAAAAGAGAAGCCACTTGTAAATTCTTTTCACTTTTCCAGCATAAAAATTTCAGGAATATTTTCTCGAACTGTGATATGAAATGAATTTTTTTACCATTCTCATTACCACCTTTCTCACGCTTGTTTGCCTCATCGTAGCTCAAAAATTATCCTTCATAAACAAAGCGAGCTTG